TTATATCAAAGTATTTTAAATAAATTCAATAAAATTTTAAACAACTTGTTAGATATAATATTTTTTTTTATTTTATATTTTTTAAATTTCATATACTTTTAGGGTGTGTTTGTTTGGGGGATTGGATTGGATTTATACTATTCATCCAATTTTTTTCCCCCAAAAACATCAAATCAAACACCTATTTTTTATTTTTTATATTATACTAAAAATCAATTTTACATTCAAAACATCACATCAACATATATTTATATCACATTATAGAACTATTCAAATTCCAACTCAAAATCCAAACCTCCAAAACAATCATTTCACAATATAAAAATGAGCTGATTCAATGGATGAAAAAGATGAAATCTTTTCTTCGGTTGTGAATTTATTTATTGTTAGAGTCAAGCTTGCTTTGGTTCCTCATTTCAATTGGAATTCAAAATAATTAGATGTTAAATTGTTTTTTAATACGATGATTTAGGTGAAAAGATTTATGTGAAACAACTCGATAGTTTTATTGATAAGAATAAACTTGATTGTGTGTGCTTGTTTAAGAAATCTCTTTATTTTTTAAAACAATCACCTAGAAAAAGAAATTTACAATTTGATATATGCATGAAATAAATTAATTTTAATAGGAGTCAATTTGATCATTCTTTTTATTTTTAAATCATGGAATCGTATACACGGATTCTTGCTGATATATGTCTGTGGTATGTCATTGATCAATGTTGATTTGAGTGTAATGATAAGATTAATAAATGCTGAGTGATCAACTTGGTACTAAATTTTTGGATGATTCAAAAGTGATTTTAGGAATGCATGTAGAGAGAGATAGACAAAAGTTTGAGTTGTTTTTTAATCAGTCTTCATGTTAGAAAAATGTGTTTAATCAATTTACGTTTAATCCCCGCGTAAGACATTGATATATTTTAAAGTGGTTGTTTAAATATCTACGTGGGATTAGTAAATTGGATTTGAAATACACTAAATCTCATTGTGTGTGATTTTGAAGGGCACAAAATGCTTATCTATTTTGATATTTGGCTGTGTTTAAGTTTTCTAATTTTTGATATTTTTTATTAGTTTGTCATATTTTGTTTTAAACATGTACTTATGTGTGTCATTGAGAAATAAGTGTGTGGTGATGATGAGTTCTTTACCTGTGTGAAACTCGACGAAAAAAAGTGGAGAAATATTTGATGTTTTTGGGCAAATTCAATCCATACCCGGTCCGGCCATCTTCTATTCTCTCTGTGTGGTTGACCCGCGTCTCCTCCAAATCCAATCTCGACGCTCCATTTTAGAAATCACATCTAAGCTGTCTATTGTGTTATATATATATATATTGTTCTTTTTCTCATAAACACATAATAGATGTGTGTATGCCGCATTGCTATTTGTCTCATTCCAAAACTCTCTCTCGCGTTCTTTCATTCTCTAATATGTTGTGTATTCGATGGTGAGGTTTTTCAGCAATTTTCACCATGATGTTTTAGGCGAGTGCTATGTGAAATTTTGAAAAGTGTTTGGTGAGTTTTCTTCCTTAATCGAACAATTCTGATATAGAATGTTTGAGATTTCATTTTGGGATGGTAGACTAGGTTGTCAGCGGGTGTCTGTTGGCTATCGATCGTCGCTTGCTACTGTGTTCGATCTCTTCTTCTATAAGAGTAATTCGGTGATAAATCTGAACCACATAGTGTGTGTTCATGGGTTTCGATTGTGTTACGATTTTGCTTTTTTTCTTTGATAAAAGTTCTATTTATTTCCTTTAAACTCAATTTTTGATTTCGATCCTAAATTTGACAATACTTATACTAATAATTATTCCTTTTTTTTTTAGAGTAATGTAAGATAAAATATAATTTTATAAATAATTATTAGTATGACTCATTTTCATAGGATAATCCAAAAAATATATATAACGTAAATTTCTACAAAATAAATTTTGCAATACACATATACATATGTTACGATATACGAGTAATATACTCCTTCCGTCTCAATTCAAATTACCATTTTTATTATTTTTGTCCGCCCCACTCTAAACTATTTCTTTAATATTTTAGTAAAATATTTATACACTAATACCAAAATACCTTAAACTTTTTACCTAAATTATAAAAATATCATTACACATACAATTTATCTATACATAATGTGTAATTACAAAAATGTTAAAATTTCTTACATACTTCTTCTGCTAAACAATAAAATATTATTATTTTCTAATGTACTAAAATCTCAGAAAGTCCATTTGAAGTGGAACGGAAGGAATATGATAAAGTACGACAGCTAATATTTAATAGTAAACATAATTAACAATATTATTTATTATTAAAAATAGATTAAAATATTTTTGTAATTTTTATTTATTTTAAGATTGTTATTTTAAAATAATTATGTATTTTAATTGCTAAAAACTATAAACAAAAATTAATAAATAATTTATTTACAAAATAATATAAAAAAAGATACTTAATAGAAAATAATATCATTAATTAACTTATTATTATAATTATTTTTAAGAAAATAAAATATATGATATTAAACAAATAATTATTTAGATTGTCGATTCAATATCAAATTAAACTTTCTAAATAACTATTAGTATGTTTCACTCTAACCAATAAAAAAATTTATAAAATTTATAAAATTTGACTTTAATCAAAATAATTAATGTTATTGTTAATTAAAATTAAATATAAATAATAAATTTTTTTTTTTATCATTTTTTTTTTTTTAATCATATATTAATAAATAGATATATATATATAAAATAAATATAGATTGTCATATTTATACAATAACTATAGTTTTTTTTTTTTTTTTTTTTATTGTTGAAAATAATTTAAGTAAATATATAGCTTAATAAATAAAGTTAGTATGACTTATTTTTTGTGTAAATCAATTGAAAAAATAATAAAAAGATTGCAAAAAAAGTTAATATTGGATAAGATAATCATACAATCTTCAAATATATTTAATATAATTACTTTAGGCATATATAGTACATATACTATTTTAATTTATAATATAATGGTAAGATATATAATCGAATATATATTATATATATTTATATTAATATTAAAAATATTAAGGAATATGAGAGGCAGATTCAATTAATCTAAATATATACTGACACAATTTGGTGTTAAATGTGCATTGTTATTGTTTATTTTCTATTTTTACATAATTATATTACACTGATTAGTTAAATTTCAATTGGATGGTAATAAGGAGAATAATTATACTCCCTCTTTTTTTTTTTATTTTCGTCCGTCCCAAAATAATTGTCTTGTTTCCTTATTTAGTAATCGTGATCCTCACTTTATAATAAAATTATTCTTACATTTTCATACTACCCCTAATTATTATTCTAGCATACTCTTTAAAATCCTTAAAAAAGCAATGACATCATTTTAGTCATTTACATTCTACTTATACCCACTTTCAATTAAATACTATTATTCCTTAATTTCCGTACCAACTCTCAATAAGATACTTCTTTTGAGACGGAGGGAGTACAATTTACGTACTTATTTTTTAAAAATATATACTGAATCATGTTATAGATTGTTTAAATTATTAAAACCACCTATAGTACTATATTATTGATTTATTAAAAATTATCTCAATTATATTTTCTACTCATTTAGATGTTTGGTTGTGGATTGAGATAAATTCATTAGACAAATTTTTTACTATGTAATTATTATAAATTTCTATAAAAACATGTATTTCTTTTATGTCTAACATAGTCTTATTATAATTAATAATATGGATAGTTTTGAAGTAAAATTAGCGTATATATGATTAAAAATATTACAATATCTATTTAAATATTTTAAAAATTATATCTCAATAAAAAATATATGCAATATAAATATTATTTTGTAGAGAATAATTTTTCTATAACACAAGTAAATAAAAAAATACGTACATAAACTAATTTAATAAAAAGATATGAAGTTTTAAAAGTAAATAAAAATACTTCCTAGGTTCCAATAGAATAGTTCAGTTTACCATTTTTGTCTGTTCCAAAACAATAGTCTCATTTCTATAAATAATCGTATCACTATAAAATCATCCTTATTTTTTCATTACATAATTGCCACTATTTTTTTACACTAATACACTCACAAGGGCAAAAAATATTTTTCCCGTACTTTTTACCCACTACTAATATAATATCAATATTCTTTAAATTCCGTGTCAAACACAACCCCAACTATAGTTCGGGACGGAGGAAGTATTTGTTTTATGAGGGGAGAGATAAAAATAAAAGAATTTTGAGTGAGTTCTACATTATGTATAATATTATATTTTTTATAATTAATTAAGTTGATTTATATTTGTTAAATATATTTTGATTTATTAATTTTTACTAAAACTAAAATATTAGCACAAATAAAAATAAAAAATACGTCAATTATTATAAAACAAACATAAATTAAAAAAAAAAAAGTGTCAGTTTCAACATATTGTTTTTTCTATAAAATATAATATTTAAAATAATTATTTGACCACAAATTTACTTTTAGGGAGTAATAATAAACTAACCAAACAATACAAATATATATATATATATGAATTATGATATTATAAAAACAGGATGGGATTACGTAGAAAATTGTCCAAAACCAGACAACATTCCCACAGAAACCCAAACTCAGTCCAAACAAGCTGACAAAAATATGTATGTAAACATGATGTACTACTATGAAGTGTGGGGTGGGTCCACTCACGACCCTTCTCGTAAACACCAAAACGACGTCGCTCCGTCTCGTCTCCACTTCGTCTTCGTGCTTTTCGGATTTCTCTCCACCACGTCCAACATTAACACTAACGGCTACCCATTTCCATCATTATCAATTTTCGCTTAATAATAATAGTAATAATAATTATTATAATAACTTTGTGTGGGTCTACCAACTTTCAGAAAAATAATACTAATACTAATAATAATATTCTATATTCTATTTTTAAAATAAAATTGAGCCCTCCTCCCTCGCCGCTTACCAATTAGCAGTCCGAAAGCCGACAACGACACGCCGCTGCTAACGTCGTCGGAGCTGCAGAGCGTGGGGATTTTCGGATTGTCCTCATCCACCGTTGGATTGCCGCCACGTGGCGCCCCGGTTGTCGTGTCTCGGCCCCTTTACGGTCTGGGGTTTGATTCTTTTCTCTTCTCTTCTCTTTCCTTCTTCCCCAACAAATTTGGTCACAAAATATTTCTGTTTTAGCGATGGATTTCTCTGCGATTTAGAGTTAGAGATGGAGTTTTCCGATCGGAATTTTTGTATTTTGATTTTGATTTTGATTTTCTCCGGCGGCAATGTATCGGCGGCGGTGAAATTTGACTTCTCTAGCGTGCCTCTCTCCGGGCTGAAGCTCCTCGGCGATGCCCACTTGAGCAACGGGAGCGTGCGCCTTACGCGCGACCTCACCGTCCCGAACTCCGGCGCCGGCAAAGTTTTGTACTCTAACCCGATCGAATTTCGCCGGCCGGGGATGGAATCTCCGGCGAGCTTCTCTACATTCTTCTCGTTCTCCGTCTCGAATCTGAACCCATCCTCAATTGGCGGTGGGTTGGCCTTCGTCATCTCGCCGGACGACGAGTACGTCGGAGACGGCGGCCCGTATTTAGGGATTACCGATGGGAAGGGCGGCGCCGTGAATGGCGCGGTGGCGGTGGAGTTCGACACCCTGATGGACGTCGAATTCAAGGACATTAACGGCAACCACGTCGGTCTGGATTTAAACTCGATGGTCTCCACGGCGGTTGGCGATTTGGGAACGATCGCCGTCGATTTGAAGAGCGGCGACTCGGTGAACTCGTGGGTCGAATATTCCGGGTCTACTCGGTCACTCAGAGTCTACGTTTCGTATTCCAATTCGAAGCCCCAAGACCCAATCCTGTCCGTCGATTTTGATCTTGCCGATTACATATCGAACGGTTCGATGTTCGTCGGCTTCTCCGGCTCGACTCAGGGCAGCACGGAGGTCCACACAATCCAGTGGTGGAGCTTCACGTCGTCGTTCGATGAATCACCGGCGCCGTCGCCGGATATAGCCAATCCATCTCCAGCACCGGAGGCCGACGGAACCAAAACGGCGTCGCATCACAAAACAGATGGGAACTGCCGCAACGAGCTCTGTCGCGGCAGTCCCGGGGCGGTCGCCGGAGTAGTCACCGCCGGCGCCTTCTTTTTGGGGTTTTGTGCACTAGCTTTTATATGGATTTACAGGAAGAATTCCAAAGGGGATATGAGTTCAAATTTGAAATTGAAGTTGAATTCGAACACGATCGCTTCAGATGTGATCAAAATGCCAAAGGAATTCAGCTACAAAGCGCTGAGATCGGCCACCGGAGGATTCAATTCCGACCGGATAATCGGCCATGGCGCATTCGGGACAGTTTACAAGGGGATCTTTCCGGCGACCGGCGACGTCGTGGCGGTGAAGAGATGCAGCCATTCCGGGCAGGGGAAGGCAGAGTTTCTGTCGGAATTATCGATCATCGGAGCTCTCCGGCACCGGAATCTCGTCCGGCTTCAAGGCTGGTGCCATGAAAAGGATGAAATATTACTAGTCTATGATCTGATGTGCAATGGGAGCTTAGACAAGGCCCTGTTCGAATCCCGAATTGTCCTGCCGTGGCCGCACCGGCGCAAGATTTTGCTCGGCGTAGCAACGGCGTTAGCGTATTTGCATCAAGAATGCGAAAATCAGGTCATTCATCGCGATGTAAAGACGAGCAACATCATGCTCGATGAAGGGTTCAACGCCCGATTAGGCGATTTCGGATTGGCCCGGGAGGTCGGGCACGACAAGTCTCCCGATGCGACGGCGGCTGCGGGAACGATGGGGTACTTGGCGCCCGAGTATTTACTAACGGGCCGTGCCAGCGACAAGACCGATGTTTTTAGCTACGGCGCGGTGGTGTTGGAAGTGGCGAGCGGTCGAAGGCCGATCGCGAAGGAGTCGAACCCGTCGAGCAGAGTCGGGGTGAGTAGCAATTTGGTCGAATGGGTGTGGGGATTGCATAGGGAAGGAAAGTTAATCGAGGCTGTCGATCCGAGGCTAGAAAACGAGTTCGACGAGGCGGAGATGACGCGGATTTTGTTGGTCGGGTTGGCGTGCTCGCACCCGGACCCGACGGCAAGGCCTACGATGCGGCGCGTGGTGCGAATGCTCGAGGGCGAATCGCAAGTCCCGATTGTCCCGAGATCGAAGCCGAGTACGAGTTTTACGACGTCTCAGCTCATATCGAGCTTACAGGACAGTGTCTCGGATTTGAATGGGATGATCGGCATCTCGACCACGTCGTCGGAAACCAGTTTCGGCGGCGGCCACGGCGGCGGCGGTTTAGACATGGTTTAAAAACTCTAATTGTTTAGTTTCACTTGTTGCTGTTAGTGTTAGTGTATAGACAATATTCTTTACTGTTTGGTGAACACTAAAGTGTAAGTAAGTAAAGCATATTTATTAGGACATGACATGTTCTTGGCATTTTGCAACCTTTTTCCTGTAAACACCTTTTGGCCAAGACTATAGTGTAAGAAAAGCATATTTTTTTCGATTTAGAAAATAAAAATTGAATCTGATATCTTTTTTTTTTTTTTTTTATAAGTAAAGTGAAAATTTGGGGTAAATTGAAACAAACATTTTGAACACACATAGCTGAATATTCATACATTTCTTGTGGCCTTTTTGAGCTTGGATTTGCGACGATGATGGATCCGTGGCCGATCTCCGGCAGCCCGATTCGGGGGCGGAATGTAGGTATGTGTTTCGGGTCCTCTATAGTCGATTTCGTAAACCTCCGACGATCCAATGTTGTAATTGATCGTCGCATTCAACCTCCCTTCGATAGAATTCGACAATTCATCGGATAAACAATCCAATCGCTCGAGCGCACACATTATAAGAAAAAGAAAAATGAATCGAAATACCTTTGGACGATAAGGCCGGGCGCGCTCCGGCGCCGATGAGGACGGAGACGATGAGGAAGATGAGCATTGGGCTGAGCTCCATCGTTGAAGAGTAAGTGTAGTGTGTATGTATTTTGTGTCTTAATGTGTTAGAAAAATGAAGGGCTAAAAATGGTCACAATCTGCACAGCAATTGATTGCAAGGACTTGATTGGGATGGGAATTTATGTGTTTGGTTGGAATATTTATTAGTGTGAGCTTGAACAATGGTAGTAGTTTTTTTGATTTATTTTTAAGGGGATAGGACTAAGTGTACGGAGTTCAAACATGGTAAGTTGGGATTCGGTTCGATTCGACTCGTTTAGCAGCTGAGCTCTAACAAACAAAGCATGTAGTTGCATTTATTCATGGGATTTGGGAATGGAGAGACAATCGCATGTGTGCATTATTGAGAATGTCCATTTCACTATACAAAAACCTCCTTTTTTTTATTTTATTTTATTTTTTTATTTATGACATGGGATCTGTAGCCGCTATCCGAAAGTGCAAATTGGATAAATCTCCGATCGAACCTAATACCCTGAAAACTAGACCCGACAGACAAGTCACACTAAAGTTCAGATAGCACCAAATATATTTATATAGTAACATAATACTGTGGTTATAACACCGTTCAAATTTTCAAAGAACACTATTCAATTGTTATGATACACCAATTCAAAGTTCAGATAGCACCAAATATATTTATATAGTAACACGATATATTTTATAGATTACTTACAAAGCATCATACCTACTTTTGTAAAGCATCAAGTTATTTTTGTGGAACGTCTGTTTAAAAAATAAACAAATAATACATAATTTTTATTTCAAGAACACGCTGTTATTTACACTATAGTTTGATGCTTTCTGAATATTTACTCTGTGTATTCTAATAAAATTAGAACGATGCTGATATCTAATGCATCAATACTGTAATCGAACTGATATATATAGTTTTAGATTATGTTTTGTCGAAGAAATTTAAACTAAAAGTATTTTATATTATTTCATAAAATTCATTGATTTTTATTTAAATAAAATTTAAATCTTGGAAGTTAATTGTGAATTTTAAATTTATTTTCTTTTAATATTATAAATACTTTCGAAGGTAATTCCAACTCGCCTTCAAATCCAAATACAATCAACAAATCAAAACAACCTTAATTATGTTTTTAAAGTAAAAATATTGAATACATCTGGAACGGATTTTTTTTTTTTTTTTTTTTTTTACTCATTAACATAAATTTTCTAATGTTAAGTTTTTATCAATTTCTAAAAATTTATAAAACTACAAATTTTAAAAAACCTTGAAACCTTTGACTTTAATATTTGTAAGATGAAATAATAAATTAAATAGTAAAAAAATTGAAAATAAAAATACAAAGTGACATAGATGATAGGTGGTTATTATTCGACCAAACTCTTACCCATTTTGTAACTTTGTGTCGTACCCATGACAAACCACATTGGGATCTTTCTTTGTAAATATTTATTTAATAAATATAGTGCCCATCATTTTTTATTTTTTATTTTCTTTTGAAATTTATTGGATTATGATTTGAATTTTATCCCTTGCTTTTTGAAAACTTTTGACCTTTTAACTCATTCGGAAATAATAATAACAACAACAATTTGCAAAATTATAGAACTAAGAGCATCTCTAACTATACTCTATTTATGGTGTTTCAACACCATTTTTGCCGCGATAGTGCTCAAATCCAACGCCATTTCATGCTCCAAATTTAAAGTTTGCTACAGTTTGGTATTGCACTGTAGCAAAACGTCATTTATTTATTTTTAAATTTTTTAATTTTTTTAAATTATAAATTTAATTTTTATTTTTTAAATTTTTTTAAAATTATAAAAATAAAAATTTGTTTAAAATAATAGGAAAAATTAAATATTTGAAGAATAACAGTGAAAAATAAAATTATGGTTGGAGTAAAATTACTTTAGCAACTGCATATTTAAAGTTAAAACTGGATAAATGAAGATGATGGGTTGAAGATGGCCTAAGTAGACTTAAATATATAAATTTTATAATTTTTTAATTATAAGAGCTCACTTGTATAATTAGACGAACTTGAGGTTAGTTCTGTAAATATTTGGGTCAAATTCAAATATGAAGTTATTGTTTGGTTTTAATTTGAATTTAGAACTGTAATTTTAATTTTAATTTAAATATTATTTTGATATAATATATTATAATATAAATTTTTTATTGGAACCGTTAGAAAATATGTAAAAATTTTGATGTGAAATAATAAATAAACACATCCATAATTTTTTTAAGTTGGATCCAATATTATTGGATGGCTTTCGTTGTGTTTTTAGTTTGAAATGTTTTGTAATTTAGGCATGCAAAAATATGTCAATAAAAAAAGTATATTTTATATTTAATTATTGATTCTTTTAAATAAAAAAATATATTATAAATTTTATGATAATATATATATATATTTATAATATTAATTCAAAACATATAAAGAAATTGATGAAAAGACATACCTATTATTATTATTAAATAATATATAGTGAACAATAATTACGTGAGGAAGTTAATGCCGTGTATATTTATTTGTTTGTTGATTTAGGGTGTGTTTGTTTGGGGATCGGATTTTAAATTTACTATTCATTTCATTTTTTTTTCCTAAAAATATCAAAGTAAACACTTATTTTTTATTTTTTATATTATACTAAAAATCAATTTTACATTCAAAATATCACATCAATACCTATTTATATCACATCGTACAACTATTTAAATTCAAAACTTTTACTATTCAAATTCCAACTCAAAATCCATATTCCAGACAAACACACCCTTAATATAATATGTCAGTGTATTTGCCAGAAAATAAAAGCTGTTAATTAGGGTTTAAATAATAGTATTTTGAATAGATTTTGTTTTTTTGGTGGATTGAGAATAATCATATAAATTTGTATAATACTCTCTCATTCTATCTTAATTGCCATTTTGAAAAGAAAATTAAAATTGATGTAATATAAATTTATACTATCTTGAATAAAATATTTAATACTTCCCCTTTGCCTAAGGATAGGATAATTGGAGTTTTTATAATAAATTAAAAAATAATAGTATTCTATTAATTAGTGGAAATGTACAAGCGATTTCGATATTTTTGTTATTTGATTTTATATATAAAATAATTGTATGTGTAACGATATGTTTCAATTTAAGTAAAAATTTAGAGTATTTTAGTGAATGATTACGCTTTCTATAATAGAAAATGATAAAAAATATACATTGAATTGAGACGGATCTTAAGATAATTGAACCCTTTCAACACCTTATTTAAGAAAATGATGTTTAATTTGTTAATAATAGTGAGTTATGATATTATTTTTTATATAATTAATAATATTGATAATTTTATAATTTTTTTAATATACATGATAAAAAAATAAAATATGTATTTAAATATTTTAAAAATTATATCACAATAAAAATATAATAAAAATATATGTAATATGAATATCATTTAATAGAGATCAAAATTTTCTATAATACAAATAAATAAAAAAAATTACTTATTGATAATTAACATAAACTAATTTTATAAAGAGATGGAGGTTTAAATATAAATAAAAATATTTATTTTTTGAAAAAGAAATAGAAATAAAATGATTTTGTGAGTCCGATGTAAAATGTTTTGTAGTTATTTAATACTCCCTCATCCCACATTTTTCGTCTATTATTTTTATTTATGTCTGTCCCACCTTATTTGTTTTTTTTTTAAAAAAAATATAACTATACACTTTGATTACATATCAAATTTCATAATTTATATATATATTTTTAATCTTAATTATACTATTTAATTATCTTAATTATAATAATTATTTTTATTAACATACTTATTAATTACTTACTGATCATACTTTACATAATTATCGTATCTACAAATAAATCAAACACAAACGATGGGACCGAGGAAGTATTTATTAAATATATTTTGATTTAGTAAATTTTATAAAATAGAAAAATATCAATTTTTATCGGATATTTACAAAAAAAAAAAAGAGAAGGAGATAGTATAATTTAATTTTTCTTATAAAAATATAGAATAAATTAATAAAATGAATCGAACATAAAGACCACAAGCATGTTTATTTATTTATAATGTTAATATCGAATTCGTTTAGATAACAGTTTTGTAATAATTTAGAGTTTTAGAAAATTTTATAAATATTAAAAAATTAAATATTATTTGATATGATATTTTGTGAAACAAATAATATAATATATATTTTTAAAAATACTATTAAGACATAGTTTCATTTTATAAAAATATATGTGTAAATAGAATATTATGGATTTGTTTGTCTAGTGTTTTGATTTGAATTTTTTTTAATGAGATATAGAAAATTGTATCGGTAATATAAAAATAATATTTTTTATTGAATGTTGATTTTTGTAAAAAAATAAAATATATATTCAAAATCGAATTAAAAAAAAAAATTGGAGAAACAAACCCATGGTATTTTTTTTTTTTCCATCAATCAAATTAATTGAAGGTGGAGTAGTCAACGAGCCCGCACAAATTTATTTTTGAACTTCCTCCAAAATACCTCGTACTAGTGGAGTTCATTTTGAAACTTATAAGGTGTGAAATTTTTTTTCACAACTTCCAATGTGGACTTGGGTTTGCACCACAACATCCCAAAATACATATTTACTAGATAGATATAGACTTACCTTACACTAATGAATTTTATTATCGTCTTTTATTTCTCGCTGCATCTACGAACAAACGTTAACGCAGACATATCATATCACACATAGATCCTAACATGCACCTAGATAGATCACATAGCAACCTAGCATGAAAAACACAAATACTACACAATCGAACAACATACGTGTATATTCACAAGATAAAACAAACACACGCTGAATACAAGACTTAAAATTGCACGACATGAGCTCCACCTTATTTAATATCAACTAGAGAACACAACACTAGACACACTAAACTCTACGGCTCTAGCACACACCTCTATAGCTAAGCACAAAGTCCTCGTCCCAAGCACCTGGATTGATCGAACACTAACGCTAAGATCTCCGGAGACTCAACCACTTAGACATCCTACTTAAAAAAACACT